AGATTGCAGCTTTGCCCTTCTCCGTACATACTGGTAGAACGACTTCTTAGGTGACACTTACAAAAAATCATGCACCGATCGAGACTGCCGGCCAAGGTCTTCAAAGTACTAAATGGCCGTCAGTCCATAATTTTCTCTGATTTCTCGGTATGTACGAAGAAGGGCAAAGCTGCAATCTAAAATTTAGTGGTTGAAGTACAAGCAGAAGATTGCAGCTTTGCCCTTCTCCGTACATACCGAGAAATCAGAGAAAATTATGGACTGACGGCCATTTAGTAATTTGAAGACCCTGGCCGGCTGCCGGCCATCTAGATACAGCGTTAAGATTACCTATCGCGGTAGTAAAATTACACATCGAGGTAGTTTAAGATTACACATCGAGGTAGTAAAATTACCTATTGTGGTAGTAAAATAACCTATCGTGATAGTAAAATTACACATCGTGGTAGATTACACATCGAGGTAGTAAAAATAACCTATCGTGGTAGTAAAATTACACATCGAGGTAGTTAAAGATTACCCCCGGGGGGGGGGGGGTACTCCCCTATATTCGCTGTACGCGGTACGTGCCGCCAAACAGGGTATGGTTTTCAGCGATTCTACTCTGGAACAGGGTATATAAAATCGCACTCGCTCTAGAGCAGGGTATATAAAATCAAGCTCTCTCCTATCTGGAACAGGGTTTTCAGCAATCTTGCTCTGGAACAGGGTATGAATTTCAGCGATTTTTACTCTGGAACAGGGTCAGGTTTCAGAGGGCTCAGCGGCACATCCCTACCCTAAACGGGCAAGAGTACTATACCCCCCCGGGAGATTACCTATCGCGGTAGTAAAGTTACCAATCACAATAGAGTAAATTACGCATGGAGGTATTGTAAAATTACACATCGCGCCAGAAGAGATACAGAYAYAGGCGRCAGAAAGGTACAGATCGCGGTAATGAAATTTTGCACATTGCTGTAGAGTTATCCTATTAGCACGGTAGGGAAACTGTAGGCTTAAAGAGACTATTGTTCTTAGTATCAGTGAGAATGTGTGACAAATAAATCATGTGACAGTTTAACAAGACTTAACAAGACTAAAACTGTAATCAAGGTATTTTATTTTCTTGTAGATAACATTTTTTATTTTGAAACAAACGGCACACCATACGCTAGCTCTATCTTGAAAGTGGGGCATTTGCCCACTTAGTGGAGCCTGAACGGTGGGGCATTTGTTCATTTTGTTGGCCCGCATGGTGGAGAAGTTGACCAATCACTACGCGTCTAGATTCACTTACAGCCATTCTCAATCCCACGCGCCCTGGTGGACGTCAATCACAAGGCGTTTCCATAACGATGTCGGAAAACACGAAGCTATAAGGGCACGTGCCTATGTAATRTCATGGAAACGCCTTGATTGACGTCCACCAAAAGCTTCTTCGTCGCGATGACAAAAGCAATCGCTAGAGCGGCGCGTGTGACTGAGAATGGCAACGTTCAGCTTTGATGAATGCTTTTATAGTAATAATACTTTTGCATTTATAATATTAGAAAGCTACATCATCATCATCATCATGATGGATTTAATAAACACCACAGATTGTATTTATGTGTTTGATTCTCATGCACGTTTT